AGACGAAACAATATCAGAAAGAAAAGAAGATGTAGAAGTGGAAAATCATGAAGAGGAATTTAAAAAAAAAAAACACAAAAGAAAAAAGAGCATGAAGCTAATAAAAAAGAATTTTAGAAAATACGAAAACAAACTATAAAAACATGAAGATAAAGAAAGAGAACATAGGATGAAAGAGAACATAGGATGAAAATAACAAACTATAAAAATATGAAGATCGAGAAGAAGAAAAAAAACAAAAATAAAAAATAAGAAGAAAAAAAGATATATACATATGATGAATTAACTGTTCAATAATTCTAAATAATAGATGATTAAAAATAAAATTTTGTGCAATGCTTGAAATATAAATTAAAAAGATAAAAATAATATTTATTAAAAAAAATTATTAGAATCACATAATAGTGACAGATAAAATATGAAAACACATAAAAATTAATAACATAATTAAGAGAAATAAGATCTTATATAAAAATAATAATAAGAATAACTAACAGAACACAAACATTGTTAACACAATGCAAACATAAAGTTATTAAATTAGAAAAAATTAAATTGTATTTTAAGATATAGCATATAAAACAAATAAAAACACAAACATAAATTAAAATCCGCACGAAACGCGAACTCAACTCTACTTTTGATAATTACCTAGTAATTTAGATAATTACTTAGTAATATATTTTTGACCATAGTTAATACTAAAAAAAGGTTTTGCGGACTCGGATGTTTCAGATTCTATTATTTTTTGGGAAATATTTATATATATCATATTTCTTTTATTTTTGTGATATGATCTCCATTAAAAAACATTTGCAATTTTTTTTACGAACACAATAAATATCTCTTTAATTTAAATGTGAAAAATGTGTATTTTTTAATTTAGTTTAGAGTGAAAATTGTAGTTGATAGTTGTGTTCTTTTATTCGAATTAAGTTTTCTTTGTTAGATTTCTCATTCTGAAAATGTTTAAGTTTAATTTTGAAGAATCTTTTTTTTTAGTTTTGAAATCTTTTTGGAGATATTATATTTTTTCCAGCTTTGTTATCTACAAAATATCTTACGATGTATATTTCAAAGTTTATTACAAATAGATTTCGAAGAAAAAAGAAAAAAATACTTGATCAAATCCTTTAGAAAAAAAATTACTGAGATTTTTCTCTGCATTTTACTGAAAACTGAAAAACAGAGGAGATGCAAAAGAATATCGTGGTCGTCTATTAGTCTACGTGTCAAAATAACATACTCCATTTCAATTTTTAATTGACCCCACGCTGGACCGTCGATTTCACGTGTACGTGTTCCTCACTGGGACCCACATTTCTACAATGAGCATTGAGCATTCATATGTCCGCCACACGGTCGTATACTCAGTTACTCACAGCTCATCACACGTTCAACAAGAATATAACAATTTTTGTGCAATAATAAAATTTTATTAATCACCAAACAAAAAAACTCGCACATACAAGAAAGTCAAAAGGCGGATTATAGGAAAAAGATAATTCTATTTTATTTTTCGTCGTCAGGAAAAAGATAATTCTATAGTAGTAGTTTTTATTAATTTCATAATACTAGAGTTCAGTCCACATTTCACGCGGGTTTTAATTCATATTTATGTTTTTATTTGTTTTATGTGTTATATTTTAAAATACAATTTATTTGATAATTTTTTTCTTAATTTAATAGATGTTTTGGTTATGTTTGCATTGTATTAATAATGTTTGTGTTCTGTTAGTTATTCTTATTATTGTTTTTATATAAGATCAAATTTCTTTTAATTATGCTTTTAATTTTTTGTGTGGTTTTATATTTTGTCTATCACTATTGTGTGATTCTAATTATCTTTTCATAAACATTCTTTTTATCTTTTTAATTTATACTTGTGTGTTGTGCAAAATTTTATTTTTAATCTGTTATTATTTAGAACTGTTGAACAGTTAATTCATCATATGTATATATCTTTTTTTAAAAAATATTTTTCTTATTCTCTATCTTCATCTTCTCATAGTTTGTTATCTTCATCTTATGTTCTCTTTTCTTATTTTTAACATATTTGATTTCATATTTTCTAAAATTTATCTTCATTAGTTTCATATTCTTCTTCTTTTTGTGTTTGTTTTTTCAAATTCTTCTTTATGGTTTTTGACTTCTACATCTTCTTCTTTTTCTGATATTGTTTCGTCTTCATTTACATATTATTTAATATATTTTGATCTCTCTTCTTTATTTTATTTTTTATTCTTTTTCATCAACTTTTAATTTTTTTAACTATCATCATTTTCTTTAACTTTTTTTTTTCAATTTAATTATATAGATTTTGTAATAAAATCTATATAGTTTTAATAGAGTTAGTATTACAATTTTCTTTAATTATTAATTATACTAAATATATTAATAATATATATAAGTATATATGAATGCACCTTTTAAATATGTTTTGATGTTAAAATTTATGAGTTTGCTGATGTGGACACTCTAGATGGAGAGAAAACTCTCCTATTATATAATAGATTTACATGAAAACTCAGTCTTTTTTTTCTTATTCAGAAAGGTTTTATTTTTATTGTTGGTCAACTACCTAGCCAGGATCAAAGGAATTACATGTTGCTTTTACTGTTGACTGATAATTTTTAGCTAAATACAAAGTGATTATTTCATATGTTTTATTTTCTGCTAAACATCTAAATCAGTCACACTGTTGACAAATAAAGTAATTAAATCAGTTAAGTGTTTGTGAACTTATTAAAATCCTATCTTAAACAATGATGGACACAAGTTTATAAAACCATTTGTGATTTGTTATACAGCTTATAATATATGTAATTGCAAATGCAAAGTTATTCAGCTAGTAGTTTTTAAAAGTACCTTCAAAATTTTTTGTATCGAAAATATTGCACGCATTCTTTTTGTACAAAATATAAATTCAATGGTTTTCAAAGTTATCTTTGGATTTTAAATCTTATTTTTTCTTTTATTTGTTAGAAATAACTAAATAATCTAAAATTTATCAATGATTCCAAATGTTTAGTTGGATACACAGTCGATCTTTACTAAAGTTTTTGCATATTTTCGTTCACTTCTTTATATTCATGATTAAAAAAAATTAGTACTATTTTTTAAATTGTTCTGCAAAATGTTAATCATATTTTTATAGAGTTTTTAAACATTAGAATCGAAGCTACAATTACATCCAAAAATTACATAAAATGAGAATTCTGTTTATATGCAAATTAAAACGTTACATCCAAAAACGTTTAAACAAAGTTCTCATTTTATATAATTTTTTTGGATGTAATTGTAGCTTGAGTTCTGATATTTAAGGCTTGTGGAAAACTTACGCAAAACGATTTCACATATTTTGTATACGAGAAGTTAAATATTTATTTTGATAATCTTCTTTAATATTTTGATTGTGTTCTATTTCAACTATTTCTTTTTTTTTTTTGTTAACGCACATACATACATACTCATGTTTATGAATTTGAACTTGGATTATATCAGAATAGCAAAACTACTAAGCTATAATTTTTACCCAAAAAACAACGTCTACAAACTTCCGTCTTTTAATTATTTTGTTAATCTATTGATCAGAAGTATGTAGTTCATACTAGGAGAGATAAACAGCTATATATAAAAAATTATAGGTTCCCCAATTTCTTTCGCAAATGAAATAAATAAAAGGGATATATGTCTGGAAATTGGTTGCAATGTTGGGTGAGGTTACATAAAATGAGCATTATTCATGTCATGGGATTAGAAAATGTTAGCTTCATTTTGCCTGCCTACTTATTGGTTATTACTAACTTATGATGATGATCATGATGATATAAACTTAGGCTCATGATCATCTGTGGATCAATCCAACATCAAATATTGCCTAAGCTTTTAAAAATTAAATTAGATTCCATATATATTGAATTGTGCAGTTATGACCATGAAACAGAACTGAAGAGAGAACATCATTAATCGATTTGTTGTTGATATATTTCATTTTCGGTATTTAATTATTTTGTAGCTAGTAATTTAGAGGTCCATCGAAAATGTTATTTATTTATTAAATTTGTACTCAATATGTATTAAAAAAAATAAAATAACTGACCCAAAAAATTAAAAATGTGGGGTTTAGATAGGAATCATGTTCGAATAAACCATTTGCAGATACTAAAATTTGTTGATGATATTTCACAATTAGGTCTTAAAATCCGGTCCTTCCAAAACTTGATTTGTTTGGTTTGGTTCACTAAACCATTAACATCTACAGCAATTGTCTTGCTGTAACATGAACAAAGACAAGAGAGAAATCAAAAACAAAAATTATAAGGCCCCATAGATGATGAACTGTCAAAAGACAAAACCTTTTAAGTAGATTTCTTGTCACTTTGTTTCAAGATTCATAGATATGAAAGATCATTAGAAGTTTCATAGCGACATAGAGACAAACTTGGGAAGTTGGGATTATTCATGACTTGTAAAGTAAAACAATGAGTCATTTTAATAAGTATTCATGTGGTTCTTTCAATAACAAGAGAACAAACACTGAAACAATCACCAAGATTTTTTTTTTTTTTTTTTGAACACAAAACTTAAATATAAATTTGTTTGACTTTACTGAATTGACTAGGATGATCTAATCTTGAGTTATCAAGAACCACAGAAGAAAGAGTAAGTTCTTGGCTTTAAGAGAGAGAGGTGACATATGACCACATGTACTGCTTACCCTACAAACTCAAATGATCAACCAAAGAAAAGGGTTTTTATATTCTGCACATGAGTGTACCATACCTTATCTCACTTCCTTGAATTAGAGTTAAAGAATGAAACGAATCTTGACCGTCCATTAAGATCAAGAAAGTATCTTTTGGTTGAAGATGAAAGTGTCCCACAATGTCCCCAAAATGATGGGACACACTTTGCCTCAAAGTTGCTGCTACTGTTTACTACCCGACAGCTATAGCTTTTGCCTTTGTCCTTAATTCAAGTTAATCCCTTTTTTTCTAATTTACCAAAAGCGACTTTCAATTCCTATAAAACACTCTTCTTCCCAAAGCCTCATATTATCAACAAGTCTTTCTCTCTCAAGACATTTACACACACAAGAACAAACTTTCTTTCTTTGAAGATTAATCTAAGAAATGGAAAAAGTTGGTGTTTGTGATGATTTTGTTAACCTAAAGGCAACAGAGCTGAGATTGGGATTACCAGGAACAGAAGATGGATGTGAAGAAGAGAAAGAAAAGGTTTCTTGCGGTAAAAGCAACAAAAGAGCATTACCTGAAACTGAGAAAGAGATTGAATCTACCGGAAAAACCGAAGCTTCTCCTCCAAAGTAAGTGTTTTAAATCAAATCCAAGAAAAGCTTTGTCTGAAAAAAGTGTATTGATAATTGTAGATCTAAATTAATATTTTGCAATTTCTTGATTTGCAGGGCTCAGATTGTTGGGTGGCCACCTGTTAGATCATACAGGAAGAACAGTTTTCAAACAAAGAAGAATGAATCTGAAGGTCAAGGAATGTATGTGAAAGTAAGTATGGATGGTGCTCCATATCTGAGGAAGATAGATCTAACGGTGTATAAGCAATATCCAGAATTGATGAAATCACTTGAAAACATGTTTAAATTCTCTGTGGGAGAGTATTTTGAGAGAGAAGGATATAAAGGATCAGACTTTGTGCCTACTTATGAAGACAAAGATGGAGATTGGATGCTTGTTGGAGATGTTCCTTGGGAGTAAGTACAATCTTTCATTCATCTCTCAAATCAATAACATAAACACAGTTTTTGTTTTTATGTACTTATGATGTTTTTATTTATTGTTGTTACAGGATGTTTGTTTCGTCTTGTAAGAGGCTAAGGATCATGAAAGGATCAGAAGTTAAAGGTTTAGGTTGTGGTGTTTGAGAAAAACTTAATAGAGACAAAAGATCAAAGAGAAGATTCAAAAACAGAGTTTTTTTTGTTTTCTCTGTTTTTAAGAGAAATTAAAAAGCTTTGAAATCTGCTTGTGTTCTCGAGGAGAGATGTTTCATATGAACATAATTGTGAAATTTTACCTCATCGGTAAAAAAGAAATTTCACTTTCTTGTTGTCTTGATTCTGATGGTAACAATGTATCAGAGAGGTGCTTATAATGGTCTTAAGCATAAGTGTGAGAAAGATCTAAAGCTAAACTTTAGCTGTAAACTCTGTTTTCTCAAGAAAATGGTAATGTTGTGTTCTAAGATCTAATATAAATTTGCTTCTTCTTTTTTTTTTTTTGTAATGTGTAACAGAACCCATTTTTGTGTTATGTATCTTGTAGTTGCTTAAAAAGATCCGAAACAACTTTTGAAAAATGCATCATCAAACCAAGATCTCATATTACGATTAATCAGAGCAAATGTCACTAATCTTCAAACCAAGATCTCATATTAAGATTAGGCTCTAACTAAGATAGTCCAGAGTCCATCAAATGGGTTTTGATTGGATGAAGCTATAACCTAACTTGCAAATGAACACAACAAAGACAAATCAATAAACCAAAGCTGGTTTATGGCAGAAATAAATATAAAAAGCCAGCTTTTAAGCAGTTTTCCTTGGATTCTAGTTTCTTTAAACTTAGATTATAAATATTATATCACGAGAGAGAGAGAGTGTGTGTGAGAAGATTAAACAAATATGAAATCTAATCGAGCAGTGAGAATAATTTTTGGGACTTTGTAAATGTTTATATTATCTTTTGTTTAGTTTGATTCCTACTGTTACTTTGGTCCCCCACACCTTAAACAAGTAAATCTACCCAACTGTGCTAATTTGTCTCCACTATCAATTAAATAACCTCAAGACTAATTAAATAATAAATTGATAATATCTAAGAACCTTGAAGTCTCAGTCTTTTTTTTTCTTATTAAATGGTATAGGTTCATTGAATTTGTGTTTCTGAGAGGAAACTGTCTTTTGTGCCAACTACTAGTTTTTTACATTTAAACTCAATGTTTTTGTTTTTTCATGTGCTAACTAATACAATGATCAGGTATCATAATGTTTTTGGTGCAAGATGAATATAAAGTAAAAAACTTTTACCCCGAACTTCACAACAGAAAGTTGAACAATGAACAATGCCTACGGATTCGAGGCAAAGATTGATCTTAAATAAGAAGGATTCGAGACTCTTGATGAGTTTTGATAATAATCTACATTTAAAAACAAAGCAAAACTGTAACCTTTTCTATTTTTGGGAAAATGTAAAATAAATCAGAGAAAGTTAAGAAGAGTATAATCTTTGATCATCAGTTTCTGACTCTAACAAGGTTAGCTCTTGACCAGTTTGGTCGCTGCTACTACCACCAGAGATACTCATAATTGGTTCAGGCTGAGAAGTAAACTTTTCTTCTTCTTCTACATCAACCTGTGGTCTCTTTTCCACTGTTTGATCAGACACCAATACAATCGAACGGCTTGTAATTACCGGTTTAGCTCGGTTAACATCTTCACGTTCTGTCTTCTCCGGTGAAACATAAGAGAAACCGTATTTCTGAGCATGAGTTAGTCCTGGGCATAAACCCTACAAAACCCAAACAGAAGAAACAAACTTTGTCACATTTGTTGTTAGAAATCCAAAACGAACGATAGAAACAATCTTTTCTTTATGTATACTGACCTTTATCAAACCGGTAACTGAAAAGGACTCGTGGTAAGGGTAAACGTTACTGAGAGTACTCTCTTGTTCTTGTTCTGGTTTAGTGGCATTGCGAGGACAATATCCGCCAAAGTAAGAGCAATGTTCTCGAGCTAGAGATATTTGCGGAGTTAATGGTAATAAGTGTCCTTCAGTGCTGAAGATGTATCTATAGACAGCAAGAATTTTTATCAAAAAAACAAGATTAACAAGATTAGTGAAAGAGTAATTAATTGTGAGATCAAGAGGTTAATGTGGGGTTACTTGTAAGGGCCATTGTCGACGAGGTTATCTGAGTTAACAGCTAAGTCAAAGAGTAGCCATAAGTATTTGACCTGAAATATTTGTGAAAACCAAGATGAGGCTTTGAGGTAAGTAAGTAAATGCATACTGAGAAAAAGAATGTTTTTTTTTTCGTTTGTTTACAGTTTCTGCGAGGAAAAAGCTCTCCAAGTGATCTTCTTGTTTATGTTGTTCAACATCTGTGATGTGACAATAACCACAAGGACATTTTGCCCCGTATTGCAAACTAGCCACAAAGTCACGTCCTGCGTCAAGATACCTGTCGAAAAAGAAGGAGATTTCTTCGAACTTTAGTTTCAAAAACACCGATCATATGATGAAGGATAAGAACTTGAAACATCTATCTATTAAATTGCCTACCTTGGATCTCTGGTAGCTTTGTACAGCCAGTATGTGCTCTCGATTAATTCCGGCCTCAGTGGATAACTCTTTTGACCATACTGTTATGGAAAAATGAAGACTAGCTATGTAGTTTTGTAACATTAAAGTGCCATCGGAAAATGGAACCTAACATCACAGAGACACTAAAATTAAGAATGGACTACCTGGACACTAAGTGTAGCAAGATTAAAACCTTCAGGAGTGAAACCATATCGTTTCCAGACGCTAAAGAAGGCAGTGTGAGTTCTAATGGCCGGATCGACATCTCCAGCTAAAACCTTTTGAGAGAGAAACATAGAGATACAAAAACAGCATATAGTTTAATTATCTGGGCCTGAAAATGTTACCAAATATTTCTTCTAACATACAATCACTTTTACCTGAAGTCCTGGCCAGAAAGCTTGAAGGCTGTTGAAAACTGGCCAGACAATAGCTCCGGAATCCATATTGACCTCTACATACCTACGACAAAACTAGAAAAAACAATAGTCCAAACAAAGGATTTGCTTTTTCATGTTTCTAATACACAAAAGATATAGAAAACCTTACCAAGGATCCTTGTGAAGGTATTGCATTGCAGACCCGTAAGCTTCTTGAAAAATGTATAAATATTCCTCATCCCCAAATAGTATATAAGCCTGTATTTGTCAAGTCAAACAAAACACACAAGCGAGGAAAATCTCAGTGCTGCTCAAGTTTTACGCAGGTTAAAGAAAAGAATCCAGATTTATTGGATTCTGGATTTCTAGAACTTGGCGCATTATATCCCAATACTTGAAATGATCTTATCAAGGGCAACACTTACTAACCTTGAGGAGATACTCATAGAAGGAATCAATGCTTGTTCCTATACCAGCATCCTGCCAAGTAGACACTACGATTCAAAATTTGAGTGACAGACAAAATAGAACAATTATATTGTGGAAGCAATGTTTCTCAACGAAATAAAGAGGGGTTACCTTCTGTGTCCATTCACCTGTAAAGACATTGATGTGAGCACCAACCAAGTCGAGACTTGAACGACGTGCCCATAGTCCCCTCACCGCATTCTTTGCAACTTGTTCGAAAACTTCAGTTTTAAAAAGTTGGACCACCATGTAAGAAAACGTAAAAAAAAAAACAAATTAAAAACTATAATAATCAACATTACATTCCTGGAAATCCAAATGAAAATGATAGGAGAGCTAAACTGATTTATGATTAGATACGAAATATCAAATCTCCATAGCTTCGCTCACCAGGATCATTTGTTAAGCGACTAAGCACACCAAACTCTAAACTCAAAGTACCACCACCTGCAGTTGATGTTATCTGAAAAACAAAACAAAGATGTAACTTTCTACAAATATGACTTCCAGTAAATGAATCAAAAGAAATGACCCGCAAGCTAAATATGAGCAGTCTAGGTTTTGTTTGTTCAGTCGCGTCACCAAAAGCACAGATCAAAGAACAAAAATGTGTATGAAGGAATAAGAAGATGTTATGCCTTGCTTTCATGTTTGTCGACACCGTACATCAAATTCACAGATCCATATGGAATTCCTACAGAGAAAAAAGAGAAGATGGAGATGACAAAGCAATTCCCCATTTTTGCATATTCATATGCACGCCAGATTATTCACAAGTGATAAGTAAAAGAGCATACCAGTCGGTGTATCAAATGCAGGAAGCATTCTCCGTGTCAAATCCTCAGCCAAGACTAGTAACTCATTGTCATACGATGGAATTCTCATTCCCTGTCATCAGATAGGATTCAAATCAAGCTCAAAGGGGAAACAACCAAAACCACTTTCATAAGGAGGTTTTTACAATTTGGAAGACCAATAAAAAGGTTTAAGACAAGCTGCACAATAAGCTACATAATAGAGGGTGCAAAAAAGTACTTCTGCTTTCTAGCTGAAGAATGTGCAAATAGTACCGTTGCATAATCACTTGCAATCAGATGAGCAGATAGTAAACCCCCAAGGACTCGGATAGTTGTCTCAAACACAGAGACAGTTTTGTTCTGCAGTTAAAAAGACAGTATCAGTGCATCAATTTTACTACCAGGTTATGACTTACATACAAAAGCTGAAAGGCTAAGTCGAGGAAATATCAAATAAAACTTAGGTCTGGCTAGAAACCAATAACGATCATTACTCACTATATTAAACTGAAGATTTTTACCAATCCATTCAACAGAAGAAGTGAAGCGCTCTCGGTCACCAAGCAAAGCTAATGTATCCAACGAGTCAATCTGCACAAAAGGGACAAACACATCTTTAAGTTTTTACATACAACTGTAGATATCGCCGGGCCTTTAACAAGAGAAGATCAAATATGAATATTTTACCAGGGTTAACGCATAGCCTCCAAGAGTATCTTCTCCTTGGCAGGACAACGGTTTCAATTCATCGAGTGGAAACGCGTTGTTCATATATCCATCAAAAGCATGGTAAAACATCTCACGTACCTACACTCGTTGTGATCAAATCAAAACCCATCTTCTAACAAATATGCAGAAGGCATCAAATAATTATCGAACAACAAAGAACACATCTATACCAAAGAAGTTGGCTACACCCTGCAATGTAAACCACCAAACCAAGTGATCTCAGCTAGTTTACTGTGCAAAAACTACTAATTGCCAATCTCAAAAGGCTAAAGAACTTACCTTTACGACTTAATTAACATCATTGAGTAATTACAATTTCCAAAACCAAGACTTTAAGTCCCAGAAAACTAAATTGCTCTAACTAACAGAGCCTAAAAACAAGAACACACCAACACGCATGATCGGAGTAGAGAGCTGAGGAAATCCAGATCTGTTTGAGGAAGTTACCTCGTCTCTAAGCTGTTTAGCTTCATCAGGCTTAACACCTTCGGCGAGAACTTGATGCTCAAGAACAAGACCCGAAAACGTCATGGAGATCAAGATGGCATACAAAGCCCACCTGAGATTTGATTCCATCAAAATCATCTCTTTTCTTCCTCTCTTCACTCCTCCTGTCCCCTCAAGATCAACTCTTTGGCAGAAAAGTATATAATAAATCAGCTTTCTGATTACGTTTCTTCACCAAGTTCTCTGTGTTAGATTAATCTGAGACATCCCTGGATCTATTGTCCGCGTGGAATGGATTCATGTGTTTCAACTGCGTCAATCGGTGGCTCGCTCAATAAATCTTTGGGTTTTTTCTTTCTTTCTTCTTAATTTTTTTTAAAGGAAGTTTTTTTCTTCTACATTTTTATTTCAATATCTGTTTCTTATTTCAGCCATAATTAGTCAAAAACAATAAAAACGAATTCAATCCTTTCTTGACTAACATAAAACCATTTTTTGATCATACTATAAACTTTAATGAATTGCACGACATGTCTAGTTTACTTTCAATGATGTCTAAAATATATAAAAACAAAAAAAATATTGGAAAAAATCTAAAACTATGGACAATCTTTTAAAAAATTTTGTATAGAAAATGTAGTTATATGTCTTTGCTTTACACATTACAGTAAAAACTCTACAAATTAATAATATTGGAATTTTAATATTTTATTAATTTATAAAATTATTAATTTATAAAATTCAAATAAAAAATATTTTTATTAATTTTAAAATATTTTTTTGTAAGAATATAATTTTTAAACAATTCTTAACTAAATTAAAGTTGAGTTCCAAGAAGACTTTATTTTTAAATAAATAAAAACACCACTAAACTAATATTTTAATAAATTATTTCATTTTTATGTTTACATCAGTTTTGTTTATGGTAATTATTAATTTATGATATTAATGAGACCATATATTTACATACAAGTTTTGTTAAAGTTATGCCTAAAATTATTATCCGGTATCCGATCTTCGGGTATCCGGTCTTATCTGATCTGTAAAAACCGAATATCTGTGTAGTTCAAATCTGGATCCAGATAATGAAATGAAGTATTCGGTTATTTTGGATACGGATCTAGATAATAGAAATTTTTAAAACTGGATATCCGTTATCCATTTGTTAAATATTTATTTATTTTGATAATATTTATTTATTTTTAAAATTTAACTTTAAAATTATTTTTAGTTTAATTCTTTTACATATGAATTTCTCATATTGCATGATAATAGAGAAAAACATGAAAATAGATAACAAATGGACATGGAGATAAATTAATTTCTCTATTACTATTTTTTCTTTTGCTATGTAAATTTTTAAATTTTGTGATATTTGAATGCTAGTTAAATGCTTTTTAATTTTTGTTACTTGTAACTTTCGCTATAATGATATATTTTAATTATGTATCTTTGTTATCTTATTATAATTTGAAAAAATTGAATTTTTTTTTTTTAAAATCAACAAAACCGGATATCCGATCTCCAAATATCCAAAGTTTTCGGATTCAGATCCAGATAGTAAAATTGATTATCCGCCGAATCCAAATTCGGATACTTTGAAAAGTCCGGATATCCGACTCCATTTCAGATAATTAAAATTATTATCTTATTGAATTGTGTCACATTTTAAACTAATAAAATATATGGGTGTTCTCTGGTTTCCTCAAAAACGACTTTATTCGTCTCAAACTCTCAATCGTTAACATCAAAACAGCGTTTTTGGCTGGTAGGGCGGTGATAAAGCGCTGCTTTAAAACGCAAAAGCTCTGATTTTTTTAAGAGAGATTCAAAAGGGAGTTTATACCCATAAGTTTGTAGGGTTTCCATTTCATATTCCAAAAGCAACAGACACTTGTCTCTCTGCATTCATGACCACACCAAAATGTATATATTATAATATATATCTGCATTAGATCCCAGCAGAGAGACCTTAGCAAGCAAGTGAATCAAACAGAACTGATAAGAGTTTCTAGTGTGTGTTTGGAGAAGCCGAGAACCCGATCACGCCTGCAAAAGCATCAAAAAGAAGAATCAGTCATGTTTACATATAAAAAAGAAACCGATCTTTGATGAGATAGTTCTGGTATTCAAAGATCTTTCTCCTACAATTTCAAACTCGTAAACTGACCTGTTGCTTCTTCTTCTTAGGCCGTCTCTTCCTTTTGGGTTTATGAGCATCAGAATTGGAGCTCAAGTTGCTACTCTGACTGCTATATGAAGTTGCGGCAGCAGCCCTGGCATTATGTGAAGACTCACTTCTTCTGTTTGAAGTGTTTCTTGAGGATGATGGCATCTCATTCCTCTGCACAAATGAATTCTTCCTAGGATTTGATCCAAACCTTGCTTGTGGTGGTGGCATTAATGCCCTAGCAGAGTTTTGCTTCTACAAGATTCCAAAACATTAAAATTTGTAAACTGGAGTTTGTCAATAGAAACAATGTCTGTAGTAAACAGTGGCATCACCAATTATGAGTTTCACACATCCTTCTACTATACAACATCCATAAGGTTTCACAATTTTTTAACAGCTTGAAATAAAACGAAAACTAATCATACCTGGTTCCTTTCATCACTAGACATGCCAGATGTTGCTCTACCAGAAGCACTAGAAGCAGCCTCCCTGAAAAATTGCATGTTATACTATAGTCAGAAATTAGAAGTACTGACGTTTAAATGTAAGTATTCCGAATTTACTAAGCGTACTTTGTGCTTTTATCGGTCAATTCATCATCCGCGTCTGCTTCATCGCTTGAACTCCCTTTATCAAAGAAATCATCATCACTAAGGTCCAGAAGACCATCATCTTCACTACCTGTCTCTGTTTGTCCACAACCGTAACATCACACAGTTTATAATTTATTAGCTAATATTTCCAGGAAAAAGGAAACAAATAAGCCTCTCTTATCATGTTTACCTTCTAACTCTTTTCCACTAGCAGCGGCAACAATAATATTGGCTTTGATCTGTTTCCGCATTTTACTTCTTCGCTCAATCACGTCTGAATCCTCGGCTCCAGTAAACAGAGAAACATACTTCTCATTTTTGGGGAAGAACTGCAATTGTACATTTAAGAAAACTCAGTAACAGACGATTTCAGCTAAACTCACTCTCATTCATAACTCAAAGAAGTTTGCCAGAGAATAAGTAATAAGCAGAATGATGACAGATAGTAAAAAGGAGAAGCAAGCTAATGAAAGGAAATTAATTTACCCTAACATATTCAAGATCTTCTTTGAGTTTACTGAGTTGCTCAGCTATATCTGCATCTCCCACATGAGCAGATGAAGTACGTTGCAGCTTCTCAAGACGTCTAATGCTCCTTTCAATCTTTCTCCGCTCTAATTGAAGTAGTAATTATTTTGAATTAGAGACACACACACAGCCAAATGAAAACAAGTAAGTGCCTCTAATCTTACCAAAGAACTTAATCTTCCTGTTCCTGAGGAATATTTTACGCTCTACAGCAAGACGAGTATGGTCATCTTGCTGCTTCTTCAAATACTCCAACTTCTGTTTTAGAGTCTCTTTTACTTCAGGAGGCAAATCCTACAGACATTGATCATCCACATACGTAGTATCAAAAACCATTCCTTTCTCTATCACCAGTCACCACATCAAATTAGACACATGGCATGTTGAATAGATGATCAAATTCTCTATAAGAACACAACCCAGAATCAACGTCAATATAATAACCCTCAAGCTCTACATAAAAAACACACCAGACAAAGCTAATTGATTCGCCAGATCAGTATAATGTTCCACATACTTAATATCAATACATCAACATCAAATTAGACACAAGGCTTGTTTCTAACTGAGCATAGATAACCAAGACCTCAACAAGAACCCTTAATCTCTACACAGATGATACTCCTAACAAGCTAATTCAATCGCTAAAAAGACTGGAAATTTAACAGAAATTCGAACATAAAACGCTAAATTCAGAAAACCCACTAAGAAGTGAGAGAAAAGGAGCTTACTTTACGAAGGAAGCGTTCGACGGAACGAATCTGATTCTTGAGAGAGACAATCTTAGGTTTCTTCTCCACACGCAATCCTTTCGACCTCCGGCTGCTGCTGCTTCCCGCAGTATGTTTCGGTTCCGAGACCCTTCTCTTGGCATAACCTCCGTGCGCCATGGCCGAAGGATTTACGAAAGCTTGAAGGAGAAAGAGGAAGTGAAACAACAACAGACAAAAATTAGGGGTTTGTGTTTTTTTTTTCTTTGTTCGGCGTTGGCTTCTTTAGCCTGATGAAGCGGAAGCTCTTAAAACGCAGCGTTTTGAGGTTAACAAGGTTGACCCGGGAAATAATTTCGGGTCTGCGGGTGGCCGGATCGTACCCTGTGTGGGTAACTGAACTACATTTTTTAAAATGGAGTTTTCTTTTCTGAAGAAAATAAAAAACCATTCAAATAACATGTTTTGAAAGCTCATATTTGTTGTTACGGATATGCACAAAGGGATAGAACTCGATAAATATGAAAGAAGAGCTCGAAGATATTCATTGAGATAGAGTTTGTAAATCGACAATGATTGGGTTCGGAGGGAATAAATAGGTCGTAATTTACGTATTCATATCAGGTCTATAGATCGATTAAATGGCTAACTGTAAAAAGATGTTTAAGTTCAATACTTAAGCGAGCTGTGATTAATTGATAAATAGATCAGATGTATTGAAATTAAGAGTATAAAGCATTTATTTCAGATTACGGATTCCATATTAAATGATTGTAAAACGATTAAATCATTCTCAGGTTATATAGGTCGTACGATCGGATAGCTAGACTAGACCGATCACCTTCTTTCAAATTTCAGTGTTATTCTTTCATCAATCTTTTTTGTGGCGGGTATGGTTATACTGGGTGGACTTTGTAGATTTATCGGGTTTTATAATTTTGTTGGGCTTTACCAACCCAAAAAAACCGATTTGTTAGGTTTATAACTTTGTTGAACTGAGCCTTAAAAAGATGTACATAGTTCACCTCTAACAATTTTTAATTTTAAAAAATGAAGATCAACATACATAAACATAAATGAAATTTAACCAAAAATATTATTTGTTATTCAAAATTTCAAATTATGAATAATGATGAATAATATATCAAATCGAATCTCTCACGGCAAAGAAACATATTATTGTGGGTTCAATTCGACTTCAACCTAAATGTTTTGCAAGCTGAAGGTAAAAACGTACTTATTATTTATGGACTAAAAAAGTCTTTTTTGCAAAATCCTTTAAAATATAAGGTTAAAACAAAAAAAAAACCTTTCTAATATTAAATTATATGATTTAATGGCAGAAACAAACCCAAGTTAGAAGCTAACTTCGATCCAAATTAATGAAAAACTAATAATCATCTTTTTGCATGAATGTTTAAGAAAAAAATAGTGATTTCGCTATTTCAATATTTAGAAAATTCATTAAATTTTCATGTCTTTAGAAAAGTGATGATGTAATATACCATAGACATGTCAAAAATGCAGAATCACTTTTATAACACACATGAAAACTAACACCAAAAAACAAAACACACATGAAAACTTGATGATTGAACATCAGTTTGCTATTTTTAACGTTCTCTAAAAAAATTATATGTTCAGTATTTCACTATTCATATGATATAGATTTTTTTTTTATTGGATGTCTCCGAAGGGCGAAGGGACTCATATGATATAGTTAAATTAACATATGCGTGTAACATCACGACTTTTTTTTCTGTGTGCAAACAACATCAGTACCTCGATTTCACTGATATTATAACCTTACACAACTGATTTTTAATATTGTAGACATGCCTGTAAGAAAAAGGAAAAAAAAACTTAATTTATTTATTTTCTAATCAAAATTATGATGTTGAACGCTGTTTGGCGAGGGAAGCTAGCATAATTTTGGGTCGCATGGTGTGCAAACTTGTCGAAGAGGCGGTCAATAATGGTATCACCAAAATGAGCAACAAGCATGGGTTCGGTCATGGATCTTGTGATGTTAGCCCTCTTTTTCCCAACTTCGATTCTGTGAGATCGGTCATTATCATCGTTATCATCTTTATCGTCTTTTTCACCGGTTTTGAATGAAACAAGACGTTCATGTGTCTCTTATTTGTTTATCTCAAAGGATCCTTCGTTTCAAACAACCTCCCTAACCTCTCCTTCGTTCGGTTTGTAGAGCGGTAAGTTGAATGAGTCCAAGTCTGATTCCTTCACAAGCCCTTGTCCTCATAACATGTTTCCGTTACAATATTTCATTTAAAAATATTAGACTATATTTGTTGTTTTTCTAATAAAACAACGAAAGAGAGAAAAAATTATCAAATGTACATCATTTGTTTATATGTATAATTTGGTCAACAACGTGCATCACGTTGGTTTGCGACACATCAACTGCAATAATATAAACCACTATAGAATATATATTATAATATATAAAAAGACGGAATACACATCTAGTTAATTATTATACTTAAATGTTCAAAAACAAAAGTTATACTTGGTAAATGCGTAACTCTGAAACTAGGTCGACGAGTGCATCAGATAGCAAGGAACATATGTAGTGACCGTCACTGTTTAAGGGATCTAAATCTTGTTTGCCTAAGAACGTGAGAACCATGCGTCCATTAGACAACATTTCTTCAGAACGCAATCTTAGGAATAAGAAGAAATCATTTTGGAACTGTTTCATATAACTCTTGCACACATTTAGAGAGCATCCGCTTCTAATGTATATGTTCTTCTTATTATATTCAAGTCCTTGAGGAACTTTAGAAAGCCAGTGAAGACTATAAGAAGAGTGAAGAAAATGAAGGGATTTAGTGGGAAAGAGCCTTGAGTAGAAAGAACCTGGAACTCCTGATAGGAAACAGTTTCCTTTACCCTCTTTATTCAAGGAAGAAAACAATTTGAAAGTTGTATTGAAATCATTTTCTGGAAGATCGTTTAGGCAATAATCAATCTCTGGTAGGTTTTGATTTTTCTGGTTGTACAATCTTGTGATTGTGTTCACGATTTCAAACATGACCAAACACGTGTTTTGTCCAGAAGAACATCCTAAATCTGCTACTTTGATGCAGTACTTAGGAAAATTTAACCTAAGTAACATTTCTCTGATGTTCTCTTCCACAATCGGTTGTGTTTTAGAGATACTATTTCTCTGCCAAAAAAAAAAAATTATATATATATGTAATCACAATTAATCAAAATCATCATAATTTATGAATTACTATGTGCAGTACCTGATTATCAGAATTACTAGAATAGCTGTGTTCTCCATCTCCTCCATTCATACTAAGAGCATTTATAAAAGAGTTCCTAAAATATATAAAGAAAAAGCTTTTTTTTTTAATTACGGTTACGAAGGGATTACTCTACTAGTTAAAGATATTTAATCAGTTACTGATACACACAAATGTGAAAGCAGAATAGTAGAACTTTTACCTTGAGGAAGACATGGCTATATATGAGTCTTTGGATCAAATTCTTACAAGATCGAAAGTGTTTGCTACTCTTTGATTATATGTATGTAATGTATGATGGTCGAGTAGATCTGGTTTGGGTAAACGATACGTGGATATGCTTTTATTTGGAATATATAGACATATAGAAAAAGTTAACAAAGAGCCGACAGTGGTTGCATTGAACCTCAACCACTAAATCTTCTTAAACTATAAAATATAGATATACTAAACTATTAGATTGTGTTTGTGAAAATCCCTAGGTTCAATGGTTGAATAAGAGTTCATTAATATTTATACACGAAGAAAACTACACTAAAACTCTATAAATTAATAATGTTGAAACTTTAATATTTTATTAATTTATAAAGTTATTAATTTATAGATTTCAAATTAAAAAATATATTTTTTTTATCTCTTAACAATTTTAAAAGAGATTGTATACTTTTTAAACAGTTCTTTCTAAAATTTAAGATGAGTTCCAAAAAGATTTTAATTTAAAATGAATAAAAAACATCACTATATTCATATTTTAGTAGTAGATTTTTTTACGTATATGTTTATATTAGATTTTGTTTATAGTAATTATTAATTTATGATATTAATGGAACCATATATTTACATAGAAGTTTTATTAAAATTATTATCTTATTATATTATCGAATTGTGTTATATTTTGAACTGGTCCAACTCAAGACTATAAAAATTATTAATTTATAATGTTTATTAATTTATCGAGTATTAATTTATAGAGTTTCTACTGTAAGTTTCAAATCCCAAAGATTGTGATCTATTAATATTTATTCAAATTAATGGAGATAAATAACTAAAAATATTTCATAGCATGCAGATGGAACCATTTGGCATGACGTGCGGTTGTCTATTGTATAATTGTTATAATTGTTATTGTAATAGTTTTCATAACTTATAATAGGTTATGAAAGTAGTGTTAAAAAATATAAATATCTGTATATATAATACATAAATTTAGAATATGAAATAGATATATACCTTTAGATAAATCCATTTGTATTAAAATTTAATCGATATGTGTTGTGATCATTCAAGTTAACAATATTGAAACATTTAGTTATATATATTAAAAATAATAGTCTTGTAATTACTGATTTTTGTTTTTAATTACATAAAAAATTCTATTATAATTCTATTTCTTCTATCTTCTTAATCACAATCCATCTCAAAATTTCAGGGATATGATTCCAATTACATCAAACCGTAATTGCCTCTTAATTGTATAGATTTTCTAAATTAAGAAACTTTTTTTTTTTACTTTTTCTGTTATATATGTACTTATATATTCGTTGATCAATACACAGAATAATATTGAATCTTTATCTCTGTCTCTGAATTCCTTTAAAAAAAAATAACATAATCTGCGTTGCTAACCAACTAGAGTAATTAAAATAAGAAAAATTTAGGGGACAATGCAATTACTTCTCGCTATTCGAGGAGCTAACAATGTTTTGGTTCATTTTATATATACTAGAAAGCCATCCACTGGTTCAGGAGACCAAAGCTATTAACGGAATATATGTTATTTTTGTGAGAATAATTTTTCAACTGAAAATTTATCCATTTCACTTGAATCTATGCAGACTGGGACCATAAGGAACATTTTTCCTTACACTATACTAAAAGTTTCTTGCTTTTATTAATAATTTACAAAAATTGCATCTTCCGAGAATTGAAACTCTAATCTTCTTGTGTAGAAGTATTAAAAATCAAGTAGTTGATTCGATACAATATTGA